AATTTTCTACATTAGTGAGGGACAGTGGCAATTTTACTTGATTAAAAAAAAATACTAAGTGCCTGTTCTCTGTCATGACAAAATAAGGCATGAATACTTTTAGCTTATTTTCTCATCTACAAAATAGGAATAATTCTTTCTTTATAAGGTTGTTTCTTATTTGGTTGTCTGACTTGGAGTTGGTGCTCAGTAAAGAGCAGCTGTTTTTATGATCATGATGATGTAAATGAATATGACAGGGTCTGTACACTCCATAAGCTGGTAGTTCCTGGGGGCAGCAGACGTATAATGGATTATACTAGATGCTTCCCTGGAGGTGTGAACAGAGTGATTTGTTTGTTGGAGTTTTCTTTTTGTTTTTGTTTCTTTGCTTTGAGTCCTATGTAAAATTTTAGATTATTCGTTTTATGCCTTTATCCCTTTTTAATGTAAAAGATTTAAAGCCAGAAGTTTCCTCTGAGACTTGCTTCTCTGTATCCCACAAATTATGATTTATTTTCATTATCATTTACTTACACAAATAATTCTAATTTCCCTTGTCATGCCTTCTTTGCCACATGGTTATTTAGAAATCATGTTGTTAATTTCCAAATATTTGGGGTTTTTAGAGATACCTTATTGATTACCAATTTAGTTCTCTTGTCATCAGACAACATTCTGTGTAACGTTTTTGCGTTTATAAATTTATTGAGATTTATTTTACGGCCCCAGCATAGGGTCTGTATTGATGAACTTACAGTGCGTAAGAAAAAGCTGTCAAGCAGTTAATTGGTGGTTGTGTTCCATAAACATCAGTTAAATTTATTTGATTTTTTTTTTTTGGTCTATTTGTATCAATTACTGAGAAGGGGGTGTTGAAATCTCCTACTGTGATTGTGGAGTTTTCTAATTTTCCCTTCAGTTCTGTTTTTGTGTCCTATATGTTGAAGCTCTTTAATTTGATCCATACATATTTAGGGATGGTGAATTGTCCTTCTTACATGAAATGTCCCTTTTAATCACTGGTATTATTTCTTGTCTCCAAGTTCCCATTGTCTAATATTAGTATAATCACACCAGATTTCTTGTGCCTACTGTTTGCATGGCATATCCTTTTCCATCTTTCTATGTTCAGCCTATGAGTGTATTTAAAATGCATTTCATGTATACAGCAAATTGTGTCTTTCTTTTATTAATCTAGTGTGGCAGTCTCTGGCTTTTAACTGAGGTATTAGTCTATGTATGTTCAGTGGTAAATGTAGATGTGATTGATTTAAGTCTTTCATCTTGCTATTTATCTTCTATTTGTTTCATCTGCTGTTTGTTTTTCCTGTTTTCCATTGGAAATTTCATTCTTCACTCCTATAGGGTTAATTATATATTTTTTAATAGTCATTTTGATTCCTTTATTGGCTTTTTTAGTGTCTTTTTGTGTTTTTAGTGTTGATTTAAGGATTCAAATAGGCAGCTTAGCTTATTAATTATTATTATTTTTTGAATGTTAATTTGGACTACTTTACATAAAATGTAATAAATATACAATAGTAAAATTCTATTTATCCTTCCTCACCCAGTGTGCTATCATGTATTTTATATCTACATACACAGTGCAGTTACCATTTTTTTTGCTTTAAGCAGCCAGTTGTCTTTCAGAGAAAGTAGAAGAAAAAACATAACCTTTTATGGTTACCCACATATTTGCCATTTTGTTTTCTCTATTCTCTTCTGCATATCTGAGTTTTCATCTGGTATTACTTCCTTTTAGTTTGAAGAGTATCCTTTATAATTTCTTATAGAGAAGGTTGGCTAGTGATAAGTTCTCTCAGACTTTATCTGAAAACATCTTAATTTCATGCTCATCATTTAAAGGACACTTCTTCTGGTTATAGAATTCTGTATTAACAATTATTCTTTTCCTTCCTTGAACACTATAGATATGGTTCCACTGTCATCTTGTCTCCATTGTTTCTGATCGGTCAGCCGTCAACTGTATGTAATGTGTCATTTTTCTCAGGCTGCTTTGAAGACTTTCTCTTCTTGGTTTTCAGCAGTTTGACTGTGATGTGCCTAGTCATGGGTCTTTTTGTTTTGATCCTTCCCAGGGTTTGCTAAGATTTTTATGTATATAAATTAATATTTTCTACAAGACTTGGACATTTTTAGCCAGTATTTCTTAAAATATATATTTTTTCTTCCTTATTACCTTCTTCTAGGACTCCAATTACATGTGTGTTCCAGAGCTTTGTATTGTCCCGCTGAACCCTCAAGCTTTTTTTCTTCAATCTCTTTTCTGTTGGTTCTTCAGATTGTAAACTAAAAGGGTTAATGAATCTGGGGACAGATCAATGGAAGTTTTCTGCTATTAAAATTATCTAGTATATTTTTCATATTGTACTTTTAATTTCTAGTATTTCTGTTTGTTTTTTTTATAGTGTTTCTCTCCTGAAACTACCTATCCATTCACTTATTATAATCATATTTTCCTGTAATTCCTTGAACATATTTTTAATAGTTTTATAGTTCTCATCTTCTAATTCTTAAATGTGGACCATCTCTAGGTCTATTTCATTGCCTGTATTTTTATTTTTTCTCTGATTGTGGGTCACATTTTTTGGCTTTTTCACATGTCTAATAATTGTTTACTGTGTTGGACATTTTGAGGGATAACATTATAGGGAGATGAATTAAAAAATTTGAATTTCATTCTAGTAAACAATTCCTGGAAGACTGGTCCTGTCAGGATTGATTTTATATCTACCTACCTACCTAGCTACCTACTTACTTGTCTATTGATCTGTCTATTGCAGATATTTCCATTTTAAACTTAGTTCAAGTACATCGTTCTTATTGTAGAGTGTGATCCTCTTTACTAAGGCCCTTGCAGATTCAGTGTCTGAGGCACTTACGAGGATCCCTATTCTAGTCGGGCAGAAATTCCAGTGTCTCCTGTTGCTGCATGACCTCTAGCGTCTCCCTTCAGCATTCAGCCCCACCTTGCTGCTAATTCAGTAAATCCTCACAAAAACTTCTGGGGCTTACCCTTTGCTATTCTGGCCTGCAAATTCCAGACTTTCCTGCAATTTGGGACAGTTGTCTCTTCCTCTGGGGCTCAGTGAAACCGCAGTTTTACTTGGGCAGAAAGCCAGGCCAGTCATGGGGCTGCACTCTCTATTCCCTTCTCTCAAGGCTCGCGGTCCTGTGCTGCCACTGGTTCAGTGCCTGATAACAGCTGCTCCATATGCTTTGTCCAGTTTTATGGTTTTGTTGTGGAGGGCAAGTCCAGTACTAATTATTCTTTCATGGTGGGAAGCAGAAATCTGGCTGGTTGCTTGTAAGCTATGTCTCCCTCATTAATATTAATGACAATGACATGCCACACTATTTTTTTTATCCTAGTTGGAGTATGACTGATTTTCTTTTCATAGATCCTTAATTTCTGTGTTGGCTACAGTGTAATCATTAACGTGTATTAACTTTTGTTGCAGAACTAGCCTTTTAGTCCATCATTATGCTCCAGCACAGCACAACTGAATTAGAGGTAGCCCTAAGGGCACACCCAGAGGAACTTGTGTACAAATTGTCATCTGCACCATCTTACCTATAGTTCTCGTCAGCTGCAGTGATAGCCCATCAGTGATCATTACAGTTGAGAGCAGTTGTCTTGAGAATTCTTGAAAATGATGAGTTTAGAATCATTCTGCCTTATTTTAATTGTTAAAATCTGGTATCATATATCTACTTCTTTAAAATATATAATGTATTTTCTTCATGAGGGATACATGGATTGTATGTAAAATTGGCTTTAAAAATATTTTCAAAATAACTTGCAGTAATTCTGTACAGTAAGGTCTATTTCTTTCCTGTAGGGCTATTTCTATATGTATATTTTTTTGGGTGGGGGTAGTTTATATTTTGTGATTAGTTTGCTTATATTTGCATAGCATTTTTTTCCTTTTCAAAGGCTTTTCACTTATGTTGGCCCCCCTTTTCCATTCATACAACCCCAGGGCACAGTCTTGTCTTGTTACCTCTTGCCTGGACTGTTTCAGTGGCCCTGGATTCTCCCAAGAATATCCTGGCCAATCACTTGTGTGATTTTATCTTCCTGAAGTTGAATTTCTCTCAATGTAAAGAAATATTCACTGTCCTGTTTTGCCTTACAGACTCCTTAGCTGTTTTCCAGCTCAGTTCTCTCACTAGATTTTGGGTCTTCTTTACTCAGCTGCCCCAGTTTCCTTTCCGTGACTTCTCTGCATGCCACAGACTTCCTTTAACCACAGTGCCTTTCCCCTCACTCAGGATAGTTTTTCCTTCATCGTCCAAGGGCTACCCCTCCCCAGTGTCACTCATTTGAAACCTTACCCAGCTACTGTACTTACTGTCCAGTTCACATGTGAATTACAGGTGTTGTTACACATCTTGTCCCATGTCTAAGGACAGAGAACATGCCTCTTCAGTCATCGTATCTTCTGGAGCATGGGGTGTCCTGCACCCAGTGCATAATAAATAATCTGTCATCTCACTCTTATAGGAGCCCTCTGATTTAGGCAGGGGGAGGGGTCATTTCCATTCACAGAAGAGGAAACTAAGACGCAAAGTGTCTATGTGACATCATGCACAGAATCAGTGATGGATTACAGGTCACAGTCCAAGTCCACTGATGATTTTCCTTGAGTTACCTCTCCTCTCTCATCTAATTAGGCTCAGAATTACTTTAGTTGGCTTGTAAGTATAAATTTACATCCTTATATATTTTGGGCATGTCTAAAAATTCATCAAAATGGTTTGGGGGAGTTTGGTCCCCCTGTTCTTCCTTTTTGCTGTTCTAGTGGGGTGCAGCTGCTGCCACATTGAGGAGTTGAAGGCTGAACTTGGGCCCTTACAGTCCTGCTCTTCCGGGTCATCCTGCTTGTCTTGACTTTACACAAGACCCCATGAAACTGTGCTCTGCTTTGCTGCTTTGAAGTGTGGCTTGCTATCGCTGTAGGAATCCAATTCTTGATTTCCTTCTCTTATTTCAGGCACTTCGCCTTAGTAACGTGGCCATGGGGAAGACCACCACAGGTCAGATAGTCAATCTGCTGTCCAATGATGTGAACAAGTTCGATCAGGTAAGCTGCCCCAGAGGCATCCTTTTGTGATTTCTACCCATCTTACTTAGCTTATGGAAAGTCAGGTGCCAGTTTTTGGTGTAGACTGGGATTCCATTGAGGACAGACAAGGAAGTGTTTTTTATCCAATTTTCATTGCTTCTGTGTGCAACACAGCTGTAATATTATTTGTTGTCCTCTAGATGAGAGTTTTGTTTTTCTACCATTGTCTACAGCGTACTTCAGTGATAAATAGGCAGACAACAGTATTCTTGCCGTGCTTGGGGAAACATACCCAGCAGTCCTCCTGGCATGGCCCTTTGCAGCTCCTTGTGTGGCTGTTGGCAGCTGGCTTGTTTTTCTCCTCCACTAGATGATGAACCCCTGGTGGGCAGGAGTGGTTCATATCCCTGTGCCCTGTACAGTGCCTGCTGCTTGGGAACCCTGTTAATAATGCCAAATAGCTGAGCCCTATCCAGAAACAACCCACTCTCCTCTGTCGTCCACATTTTTTTTTGCCATGTGTGAGTCTATTACATTATCCAGGATATTATAGTTGCTTGTCAGATCTATATTGTGCTAGACCACTTCTATTTCAGTTATTCATTCATCAAATGCAAAGTAAGGTCCTTCCTCAGTTTCAGGGATGAATAAGACTTAGTTTCTGTGCTGGAGAAACCACAGCCTGTCAGGGAGATAAATAAATATACAAGTAATTACTACAGAGTGTGGTAGGTGCCTTAAAATAAGTTTTGCTGGAGAGCCCTGATTTTATGGCATGGAGAGTTTGGGTAGACCTGAGCTCATCTGTGGGGTCGACAAAATCGAGATCTTCCTTCCAGTGCAGCCAGTCAGTCATGTTCTCCCTGGAAGTCCCTGAAGCCTGCCCTGTATGGACTTGGAAAGGCTTCACCTGGGGTAGATACTTGGACTTCTGCTTCAGCAAGTTCAAAAGCAACCGGGATCATTTGTGCTTCAGTGCCTGGAGCAGACTGTGTCTGTGCTAAGTCCTTATTAGTTTTTGCATAGAGTCTTAGAAAACTTGGTCTTTTTCTTTTAAGGTAACAATATTCTTGCACTTCCTATGGGCAGGGCCACTGCAAGCTATCGCAGTGACTGCCCTGCTCTGGATGGAAATAGGAATATCATGTCTTGCTGGGATGGCAGTCATAATTATTCTTCTGCCTTTGCAAAGCTGCTTCGGGAAGTTGTTTTCATCACTCCGGTAAGAGAAACACTAGTTTAAAAAATAACTACTGTGTATTTGGTAACATCTGCTGTCTGTGCAATGTATTTGTTCAAAAACAAAACAGATGCGCTCCATGATCTCTTCCTTCAGGTGTGTTGTAGACTGTTCAGGCTTAGCTAGTGGGGCTCCAGCCTTGGCCAAGGCTAGGCTTGAAGTGGGAAAGGTGAAGGGGCTCACTGGCTCTTCCTGGCTAGCTGTCAGGCACCATACTTGGAAAAGGAGAGAGTCCTTAACCAGAATTTACACATAGTGAAGTTATTTAAACATGTATCAATAATATCTTAAATATCTACTTGTAGACCCAGTTCTAGCTGCATGTATTTTTGTTTTGCTTCTGTTATAGTCATTTTTGGTATGTATATGTGCGTTTTGGTTTCAATTCAGTGTTTCCATTAAGTTCTAAGCTGCCCAACAGCGAGGTTGATGTTCATGATGTCTTTATAAAGCCCCACAATCCTAGCAGCGATTGTGAATCAAAGTTGGCTGGTGATGAAGAGTCTAATGGTGATGAAATGAATTAGACCTGAACCAAGTCCCAGAGGGTTGGACGTGGGTCGTTGTCCAGGTCGTCAGGTAGATGGGGACGTGCTGTTCGAAGAGCACTGAGTTCTTCCGTTTGTGTCATTTTCTGCGGTGTTTTCTCCACTGGAAGTTCCTCTCTGCTCTTTGCCATGGAGAAATGTTCCTTGTCTTTTGAGCCTCTTCCTATGCCACTGGAACTCGGGAGCCTTCTCTGCTCTCCCCTCTCCCAGTAGAATCTACAGCCCTCTCTTTCCTGGTCCCCCCCATGTCTTTCCCATTTTATTACACCACAGCCAGTTGTGATACTGCTAAATTCAGGTGCCTTTCTGCCTTCCCTATCCAGCCAGGACCTCCTAGAGTGGATGGTTTGTACCGCCTCATTTTCATGTCTTCCTTAGCAAATGTTGCAAGTTCTCCAAAATACTTCTTGAATGGGGATGAATCGTTGACTTCCTAAGTGAAGTCTTTCTCCATTTGCCGTGTGAGTAGGCCGCTCTTGGGTTGTCATTGCAGACAAGTTGTAGGGAGTCATTGATCCCTGGTCTCTGCCTGTGCCCACTGCCAATAAGGAGAGGTGGTCAGTGGTCGCTGGCTCACCGCTCATGTCTCTCCCCTTAGGAGTAAGACGGCAGCTTTCACGGACGCCAGGATCAGGACCATGAATGAAGTTATAACTGGCATCAGAATAATAAAAATGTATGCGTGGGAAAAGTCATTTGCAGAACTTGTTACCAACTTGAGAAGGTAAGTTTTCATATATGTCACATCATATTTTTGTACTTTGTTGTTTCCTATTTTCACCAAAAGGTTTTGCCAAGTCGTACTAAGTCTTCACATTAAAATGTGAAATACTCTCCACTCCACCATCCTTCATGTGGCTGTAGGGTTAAGTAGAATAGCACAGAACAGCATTTTAACCTGCTTTTCTAGTTACCATCTTCTTAAAGCAAAAAACACATATGCTTCTTACTTATGCAAAAATGAAATTCCATGTTTCTTAATACCCCAGATCCTAAATTAGCAATGATTTTCTCAATGATTTGAGAATTTTCCCATTTAAACTAAAGCTATAATTTATGTTAATGTAGCACAAATAGGAAGATAATAGAGACTTGGGTATGTCTGTGTTACACCAACTAGATGAATCAGTATTATTCATTCCAGATGGAGCCATGGAAATACTGTTCCTTTTTGTTTTGCTTTAGGTCTGTAGAAAACTTTTCAGTCTTTGATTTAAATATTTGCTTAGTTTGCTACCCCAGCACATGGTACCTATATTCTGATAGCACCTGGTCTCCTCTTATTTTTGCAGCTTGGTGGGCATGCCCCTCTTTGCTTCAGACACCCTCATCTTCATTCTTCTCGGGCCTCTGCTAAGCCTGATTAACTCTAGCTCAGTCTTTTGCCCTGGCCCTGCTTCTCCCAGTGAGATGCCTCTGTTGTGTGCTCCTAATGGGGCCTGTGCTGGTGGCTTCTGTCTCACACACGATTTGGGGGTTGCATGTATTCTTCTCCCACAGGTTCATGAGCTCTTGGAGGGGGTAGGCTCTGTCTTTCTCTCATCAGTGAGATGCCCAGCACAGGATGTGTGTTCACAGATGTTTTCTGAGTGAATGTTCAGACCTGGACCAACTGACCCAGCATGTGAAAGGCTAGCACAAAGCCTCCATGGAGTTGGGTGAGGGAAGTGGTTATGAAGCATGCGGTCCCTGTGTTAGAGCCGGTCCCGGGTGTGCGCTGGAGAATATTTCCGTAATGTGAGGGGTGGCTTCTCTTAATTTGGGCCCACTCCCTAGAGTGGGCCACGTGCAGAAAGCACTTGGATTCCTGACTTGGGCATTGATGCTTCCTTTAAAGCCTGTATGCTACTCTCTTTTCCAGAAAGGAAATCTCCAAAATTCTGAGAAGTTCCTACCTTAGAGGAATGAATTTGGCATCATTTTTTGTTGCAAGCAAAATGATTGTTTTTGTGACCTTCACCACCTATGTGCTCCTCGGCAATGTGGTCACAGCCAGCCACGTGTTTGTGGCCATGACACTGTATGGGGCTGTTCGGGTAACGGTCACCCTCTTCTTCCCCGCGGCCATCGAGAGAGTGTCAGAGGCAGTCGTCAGCATCCAGAGAATCAAGGTTTGGTGACAAATAATGTTTTTAAGTTGTAGGTAGATTTTAATTAAAATGCCTCCTTTCATTTCCAGTTAGGTGAGGTTTAACTCTCTCTTGGCACCAAAGACTGTAGCCATTCCAAAATGCTGTATGCTCTCCTCTGTCTTCTCAGGTAGAGCGTGCTGCAACAGTGTAGAACTGCTGCTTACTTATGGCAGCAACAGGAAGAGTGGCCCAGGGCTCCGGATATATAGCTGAAGACTGCAGGATGATTAAAATGTCTAAAAGCAGGAGAAGCAACCACATTTTCACTCCTGTGCTAACTGGAGTGGTTGAAAGCGACTGTATGCAGTCCTGAGTGACTGAGATTCCTCTCTGGGTTAGGGAGGAAAGCGCTTGCTGGAAGGTCCCTGATGCTTGGGTGGGAGGAAGGGCTTGGACCTCAGTCTCTGCGATGTGCTGCGTTTGTTCCCATGTTTGGGTCTTTGCTCACTCCGTTCAGCCCCTGGGTTGCCTTCTCTTCTATCCTCCTGTCCAGCCCCCAAGCTGTATCAGTCCCTCAAGTCTGATCTCAGGCTTCCATTTATGTACCAGACCAGTGTGGCACTGCTCAGCTTCATGTCAGATGAGTGGCTCTGGCTCCCTGGGAGGATTCTAAGCCCCTTGACAGCAGACTGTATCTGATAGTCACTCTGCATAGTGCCCGGCCCACATCGGACACATAATGGGCATCAAATAAATACTGGATTGACTAAAACAATGGCTGCAAGAAAAGGCTGGAATCCAACAGAGGCCCAGGGTGGCCCAACTTCTACTGAAAAACAGAGGGCTGCAGACTGGAGCTAGGCTTCCTGTTACTGGGCCTCGGGGGGCTGTGCTGCAGGGCAACTGGATCTCACCCAGCCCGGGAGCAGATCTGGGTGCTGCCCTTGTGCTCTGTGTCCATCTGTGTATCTCCGACCAGCCCGACTGGACATGACGGCTGTACTGGACATGATTTCTGAAGCAAGTCTCCAGCCTGGCTCCTGGGCTGGGCTCTTAGACCTTGCAAATAATTAGAAACACTCAGTTTTTTTTACTTGGTTTACAAAATTAGTCTGACTGTCTTACTGGCCATCATGAAATAAAAGAAAATTAAAACCATGTGGCTTTATGCTAAAATGCATCTGGAGACAGAATTCCCTCTGGAAATGAGGTCAGGCTGGTCTCTTAAGGCCTTCTGCTGATGAGATGAGGCCCACCTATATTACAGAGGCCAAACTCCTTCACTTACAGTCTACTGATTTCAATGCTAATCTCATCTAAAAAAGTACTTTCACTTTACCATCCAGATGTGCTTGAGCAAGTATCTGGGGACTGTGGCTTAGCCAAGCTGACACATTAAATTAACTATCACACCCTCTTAAATCCCCATCTCTTCCTGTGAGCTTCTCAGACGTGACTTTGTCCTCACTTATCTCATGTACTGAAGCCATTTGTTTATGGATTTCTTTCCCTCCCTGAAGCCCATACTTCTGAAGGGCAGACACAATGCCTTGTTCATCTCTGTGCACCTCACAAGAGAGCAGGTGCTCAGAAAATGTGCAGCTGAAGGGGCTGCCCTGCCCTGTCTTGTCTGTAGGATTCTGCAGGCACCTAATAATTGAGCATTGTTTCCATGGAAAGCAATCCCTTTCATTCTCTGATGGGTTATGTGGTGCCTCAAAGAATATAGCACAAAAGGGGTCCTGCAGAAGGTTGTCAGGGAGCTGTGGTCAAATATTTGGGTAGATTTTTTATTTTTTTTTCTGCCACAATGCAACTGAACTGTGTGAGGCTAAGTCCTTCCCATGTAGATGTGTGCAGTGACATTCAAATGGTGACCTCCTGAAAACTTTTCTCCTGGGGTTTACTTTGTCAAGGTACCTTGTGTCCTGCTAGGGGAAACATCTTTGATTTGGACTGGGTACCTACATTTTCACCTCCTGTACACAAAGTTTCCAGCAGGAAGGTGGGCCTAGGAGTTCAGAGATCTGTTCCAGTAGTGGTTTTCAGTAAAAGTGAAATTTTATGGCAAATGGCAGAGAAGAAGCCTGGTGAGAAAGACTGGTGTTAGCATAGCAAACTGCTGAGTGATGGTGGTGAAGTAATTGTTGAAACATCTTTTTTCTTTAGATCTCTCAGACTTTATTTCAGCCCTTTGGGTTTCTGTAACCCTTTAAAAAATTTAGTTCTCTAGTTCATCAGAGGCCCTTGGAGTGCTTATTAGAAGTAAATTATCATGCCTGGGAGATTCTTTCTCACTAGGTCTGGGTTAGGGCCCAGGGTGTCTATGTCTTTAGCAAGGGCCTCTGTGTACTTGAAAAAAAGCCACATTTGGGAAACATTGTCCTTGTGGGGAAAAAAAGCACACAAAAACTGAAGGTGCTTAACTAATATAAAAGACATCAGGATCACGTTAAGACTGATGACAGTTTTGAGGAAAAGCAGACACCTGTCTTGGTTTAAGCTAGACATGTTGGGGGCACGTCTGGACTTTATTCATCTTCAGTCACTTAGTCCACAAAATGATTGACTGCCTGCCTTAGGCTGGGCACCGTACTAAGCGTGTATGTACAAGGGTAAGCGGTACACAGAAGGCTTCCCTGCTTGGATTTATGTATCATCAAGGGGGGAGGATGAGGCAGTTAAATAATTAAATATAAAACTCACTGTTGATATGTGTTTGTGTGTCATTAGTCCTTGGAAGAAGAAGTCCATGGTGGTGTCGTGAGGTGTTTTAGCAGAGACACCGATGTAATAATGGAGGTAGTGCTTCCTGGAAGGCTGGAGAAGTTACGTGTGTGAGCTTAGGGTGTGGGTGCTGTGGGGGCGGGTGGACTGGGGAGGTAGGAGGCTCATGCTTTGCATTTACTGGGGCTGGTTATGTGGAGCACGTAGGAGACTGTGATGGGGATACAGCCCGACAGACAGCATCACGGCATCGAGGTGTTTATTAGTGCTTTTGGAGCTTACCCTGGCTGTGGCCTGGGGACTGGGTCAGAAGAGGTGGGGGTAGAGACCCAGTGCAGAGGCAGGAAGTGAATGCGGTGAGACTGAAATAAGGTGGTGTGTGTGGTTCAGATTAAGATGAAACAGATTTGGCCAGTTTTGAGAGTTGCTCAGGAGCACATCTTGAGTTGGGTGTCGAGGGAGGGGAAGGGTCAGCAGAAGAAGGGCTCATGGGCTTCTTTGGATTTTTTGGCTGCAAAATTATGGGGAGTCAATGAACTACAGAATGCTAGAAGTGGACCATGTTTGGGGAGGAGGAGATGATGAGTCACAGGTGCCTGCCATGCATACTCCCCCCAACAGGCCACATGAGCCCGCCTCCTCGCCTCTTACCTGGCAGAGGTACTAGGCAGTGGATTCCGTACCGATGTAGTGTCCAGTGTTCCCTTGCTTCCTTTCCCTGACTCTCACTGGATGTGCTAATGTGCAGTTAGAAGGTGAAAATGGCAGCAGGAGAGGAAGAAAAGGCCCACTGAGCGTACTGACCAGTAATGCGAACCAGGCAAGGTTTGCCCATGGATGGCCTGGAAGTGCGGCAGGCACACAGAGTGTAGAAAGCGCTGTGTCTTCAAGCCCACGGCCGCACTGCCTTCCGCGGCCTGGGACTTGGGAGTTTGGGGGGGCATCTGGCATGGTGTCCTGCGCGTGTTCGCGCGCTCTGGGAAGTTGGTCCACCACATCTGTGTACCCCTGAGATGGTGCTGTGGTCCATACCCGTGGGGTTAAAGCTACATGTGGGCTTTATATTGTACTGTTATCTTTTTTACACATACTTTTCAATTTCCTTTTCCTTGTGGATAGAAAATGAAGGATTTATTATAGGCCCCAAAAGTTTCCTTAGTGACATTGAATGAGTCCAATAGGATTATAAAAGATCTTGTCTGAACTTCAAAGTACTGAAAGTCTTCAGCGACTTCTGCATCCAGGAAAATGTGTCTCTGAGCTTTTATTGTTCACAAAGCTGCTTAGGTTTTGTGCCTATCCGCCACTCTGAAGTCAATCTTTTTTGGCTCGAGTTCTGACGTCTGATGCTTTCCCGCATGACCTGTTCTGTGTATGCACTTCATGACTTTAATGGCACTTTAATTTCAGCATTTTCATCAGCCTGTGCACTAGAGAAAAATCCAGCCAGCACTTCTGGCACCTGTACAAGCTGTTCGTGTGTTGAATGGAGTCTCATTTAACCACTGGAAGATTGTGACTTCTTTCTCCTCTCAGACCTATTATTTATGGACACATGCTCAATAGATTTACAACTTTACTTGGTGTACATTCACTTTTCTGTCTTCTTTTGAAAGTGGGGTATTTCTATTCTGCTGTGCACACACTGGATATTGTGTTTTATGTCTTGGTAATATGCATAAGGTCAAATCAGAATTTTATTCTGTCTAGACAAGATTTATAACCTATGTAATCTTTCGCTTGTTGCTGTGTTAGCTCATACTGTGTAAGCATGTAGTGATAGAGTCATGCTTAGGCTCATCTGAAACAGCTGGATGTAGTCTGTTCATTCCCTTGCGGGTATCTGGTGTGCTGACTCTTTTTTTGTGAGGCTTGACGCTGCTTGGAGTTGGGTCTGTGTCTGTAAGGGCGTGAATGACACAGTCTCTACTCTGTACATGACTTCATATGCCTGTGGAGATTCAGAAGGAGGGAGAGCAGGGTCAGCTGGGGCCATCCTGAGCTGGTTCCTGGTAGGATTAGCATTTGAGATGGGCTTAGAAGGGCGGGTGGGATTTTTACTCAGGGTATAAAGGCAGAGGCCACTTTGGGAGTGTGGATTTAGGTGCTGATGGGTCACTGAAGAGTTGTAAGCATTGTGGACATTCTCAGAGGTGTTCTAAGGACGTCACCTCTAGGAGTGATGTTTGGGATAGGCCCGGTGGTGTTGGGATGCTGGGGAAGGAACCAGGAAATATAGGGAGGCAGCAGAAAGAGTTATATCAATATTTCAGATGATTGGTGGGGAGATTCTCAAATATGTTCTTTCAAGA